ACACCTGAACGTTTTGTAACGCATTCAACGCTCGACGAACGCTCTACAAAACGCTCAAACATCTAAATCCCATTGTATTCAATGGGTCTGGTTCACACCTTGCCGTATTTCCGCCCATCCGAACGCGACACAAAACGGCCTACGCCCAAAGAAGTACATGTACTTCTTTGGGGCGTTTTGGTCTCGCGTTTCCATTGGGATACAGCCAAGTAGCCCACGGAAACGCGCGTTCGTCGCGCGTTTTTTTTTTACCGCGAATCGCGACAAAAGCGCATATTCAATACGCCTAGGTGTGAACCCAGCCTTAGACTCATCTCTTCAGGGAAGCCTATCCCACCTCAACCTAACCACTCAACCATCACGTTCTCAAATAATTCATCCCCACACAGCTACCTCCTCATGTATCGCTGGCCCCTCCCTCTAAGAGTGTGAGCCCTCAGGGGCAGGGCCCTCCTTACCATCTTGTCTTGAATTGTATTGTAAATGTAATGTCTTCCTTATATTGTAAAGCGCTGCGCGCACTGTTGGTGCTCTATAAATCCTGTATAATAATAATATATATTTGTTATTATACATATTAGCATTGTATGACGCGGCGTAGTTTATATATCTGGACTTCAGTGCTATAAATACATTTGGGAGCTGAGATTACATTTCTTCCTCTGCAGTCAACCATTTCTGAGGGCGGGCCCATCAGAGACAGCAAAGCCCGGTTCACGGTATTGCAGTTATGACCGTCGTACTAATGGAGGGCACAGACGTGTCGATAAAAAGAAACAATCAATGTGCAATTTGATGTAAACCGCATCTGTATCCTCTCGGGGAGATTTTCCTTTACTTCCTGTCCTGCAGACACAACATTGTCCGTTGTGAGGGGGGTCATGTCCTAGGGCCCATTCATACGTATCCACTGCAGGAGCTTGTGGTAGATTTTATTTCCTTCCAGTGGCTTTCAATGGATGCCTGTCCAGCTATATAGCAGGGGGTAGCCAAACTCCGGCCCTCCGGCTGTGGTGAAACTACAAATCCCATGATACATCTCTCTCCGGGAGTCATGTGTGTGGCTGTGAGAATCTTGCAAAGCCTCATGGGATTTGTAGTTCCAGCACAGCTGGAGGGCCAGCGTTTGGCTACCCCTGAGCTATAGCTTTCATCTATATAGAGATTTCAGGTCATTTCATTGTCAGGATGCAGAAAATACTCTGCATTTCCTTTTGATTAATGCAGTATTGGACTAAAGGGGGGTGGGGGCTTTCTCCATCTGTCTGGAGTTCCCCCTAAAGAATTAAAATGAGAATAGATTGCGTGCTGACCAGCAAATCAGCTGTCTAGACTTGTGATTAAGCGGTGATCATGGCGGCCGTGTTCGTCTTCCAGTTGATGATATTTGGAGGTGAGCGGTGTATTGATCAGAGTACGGCTCTCCTGGAAGCAGGACACGAGGAGCTGACTACAACGGAGCACACAGCTGGTCCACTACTCAGCTCTGCAGAAGATTCCTCCGCAGGCTGATCACACACTGCCAGACAAAAGCAAGCGATGCAGCAGATCAGAGCATCACAGAGGTAGATATCGCATGCAGGTGATCCAGAGCTTCTTCTATTGTGTGACATGTCACAAATGATACATTGTAGTTCACCGGAATGAAGTTTAATCTTCTTATACTTTCCTTCCGTGGTTCCTTCTCCCCTTCCCTTTGCATGTGTCTGAGCTGCAGCATTATGTTCAATGTACATATGTTATGCGTGTATGTTCCGGCTCAGATCACAGCGGCTCACTCGCACTCTCAGCTCCCCCATTCAGCAAACGTCTTGCATTATTTTCATTGGATGCAAGGCACTCTGTGATTGGAGGAAGGGTGGACAAACGTCACAATCTCCCCTCCTCCATTCACAGAATGTCTTACGCCCACTGCAAAGAATGCAAGACGTTTGCTGAATGGAGGAGCTGGAGTGCGAGTGACCCGCTGTGATCCGAGTCCTCCAGCCGGGTCAAGTAAAGTCAGAGCTGTACATGACGCCGCAGGAATACACTTCATTAGTGCGCATTTATTTTTACAGTGCACGTCAACAAAATTGTTTTTTGGCCAGAGTTCAGCTTTAAATAAAACCTGAAACAATCTCTTTTCATCACATAACTTATTGTAGACCCAGTGATGTCATCACAACGTCTCTGTCCTTGTCTGTGCAATGCAGGCAGTTCATGGCTGGTGGGAGGGGCCAGCAGTGTGCAGTAGCTTCCTGAACATATAACAGCGGGTGGGCCAGTCTCTCTGGCAGCAGCACGTTTCTCTATTACCACTTGCAACAATCTAGCCATGCTGACGAGTGTTCGTACAAAAAAAATGTTCCAACAGCCGATTTTCTTTTTCCATTTCTAGGAAGAAAAGGGATTGAAGTTTTTACTGCCAACATCCATCAGCTGCATCCTTGGGAGGAAGATGGACAGATGTCTCAGCACCGGTCTATGGTTGCCCTGAGGGCTCATACACACATGCTGGGTAGAGAAGCTCATTTGTCACTTTAAAACCCCCCCCCCCAAGGGCTCATACACACATGCTGGGTAGAGAAGCTCATTTGTCACTTTAAACCCCCCCCCCCCAACATTGTCAGACAAGGACAGGATTCCTACACTGATGCTGCAATCCACATTGATTCTGACACAGCAGTACTCTGCGTCTACTCCCAGTAAGCACCTCAGCTTTGGTGCCAGTGTGTACAGGAACTTGATTCATGTTGATGTTTTTGTTTTGAAAAAGAAAGTTCAGATGAGACTGGTTGATTAGCGCACTCCCAGGGAGGTGTAGTCAATGGTGGCCAGTGTGCTACTCCTATACTGATTGGAGCGGGGTGTCCAAATTGTAAGAAGTCTATCAGAATGGAAATGTTCACAATATGGCCGTCATCTGAATGGGTATGGGAAAGGAACCCCCAGGACATTCACACACAAGAGTCCATCATCACATGACCCTCCACCACACTACCTCTTCCGATATGGGCCTGTGGCTGACCTGTCTTGATGCCGCCTATCGTTCTGATGCCATCACACGACTGGTTTGAACCCTTTGAGTAACTCAATTATAGACAATAGGGATGCACCGATGCCGATATGGAGTATTTGGGCAAGTACTCATACTCGCCCAAATACTCCGATACTGGAACTTTCGGTCAGAGGAAGGATTCCTCTGACCGACAGTGCCGAAGGGGGAACATGGAGCCAGCTTCCCGTGCGACCAGGAAGCTGGGCGGCGAGTAATGACCCGCCATCTGGCTTCCTGATTGGCCGGAAAGCCTGTTCCATGCTGATTGGCCGGGAAGCTGGATTCGCGGCCAATCAGAAATCGAGTCGGTTGAACAACCTGCTCGATGCTGATTGGTTGGGAAGATGGCTTTCCAGCCAATCAGCATCAAGCCGGCTTCCCGGGCCAATCGGGAAGCTGGGAGGTCATTACTCGCCGCCCAGCTTCCTGATTGGCCGGGAAGCATGTTCGATGCTGGATTGGCTGGGAAGTCAGTTTCTCGGCCAAGCACAATCAAGCCACTCAAACAACATGGAGCCAGCTTCTCCGGAAATCAGATTGCCCTGGAAAGCCACCTCCATGCCAGCGGAAGCACCGGTATCGGCGAGTACCGAAAGCAACATATCGGTACTTGTACTCGATACCAAAAAACCGGTATCAGTGCATCCCTAATAGACAACCAATGAGAAATATTCACATCACAGGAGAGCAGCACCCAAAGGATGACCCTCCCACTCTGCAGTCCAAAGGAAAGAAGACTGGGGACCCAGCATGTCACATGACCGCAGATTCAGGTAAGTAAATGGGGCCTTATTGAAGAAGATGAAGACTGATGTTTATATTTTATTTCATGCTGGAGATCAGCTTTATTATACAGGAATAAATAACACCGTTACAAAAATGTTCCTGGCTCCTTTAATCTCCCCAATGAGGTCAAAGACAGAAAATCCGGACGACAGGGATGAAAGGCGCTGGATCCACCATTCGTTTATTTTCACAGAACGCATTGAAATCTATACTGTAGAGGGCAATAGCTCCGGCCTGGCGGCTCTTAAATATGAGAGGCACACGAAGGACGCCACCTTTTGTTTTTTGGATAGAGTGGAGAAGGATTAGAACCCCCGTCGGGTTTTTATTGATATCTGTGTCCCGATATGGAGACTCATCCTCTCTATATGTCCTGGTGATCGTTATCACTGAAAGTGAAAGAAAATCCCAACTTTTAGGTCGGCACCAGAACAGGAATAGATGGGAAATCTTCCAATGGGCACGCTAGTTCCGATGACTCTGCTGACCCACGGGGATTTCCTCTCACTTCCTGTTGTGGTTATTGGATAGGAAGCGAACTTATATCTCCTCAATGGGACACAGATGGCAAAGGAAAGCTGATGGGGATTATAACTCCCCCTTACTCTATCCAAAACTAAAACAAATAACCAACTGCCTGAACAGAGACATCTAGCCAAAAATTATCGACCGAAGGCACAAAAAACATGGAAGCGCTGTAAACTAAATGGCGGAAAGAAAACAGATTTTGTTTCCATAACAACCAATCGCAAACCAGCTATCGTTTCAACAGTGCAAACCGGGATAATGAAAGCCAGGAGCTGGCTCATATGGACAATTCAATGGAATGGACGGAGGCTGTAATGACCCTTTTCTTTAAAACAAGTAAACATCAAGTGCAATAAAGACACATGTTATGAAATGAGCTATTGCTGTTCATGGCAGCAGCCATTTTGTAAACCAAACTTAAGGTACCTGCAGGTAGATGACCGTCAGAATGGCAGATGACAGTCGGCACAATCTAATCACCGAAAGGCCCTTGTGCTATTAAGGATCTTTTTGGAAACACTCTCACTCTAACCCCCATACTGAGCCCGACACAACCCAACTGCAGCAAACAATTCTGAATCGGTTGCTCGGCTTACAAATGTTGGATTGTGTAAGGCCAAATTGACTTGGTTGGCTACCATTTGTCCCTCCTGGCTGTTACTATTGCCCTGGGGGGCGGGATTTAAATTTGGATAACATAATGGCCGCCTCCTATGTTGGCTCAAAGCATTTTTTGGCAGGATTTTCTATTATAGCAAAAGTGTCATAACCCTATATCCGAAATCAGACAATGTAAACCCTTCGTTTTCCCCATGATGAATCTCCAGTCGATATGGTCCTCCTCCACCTTCTTCTGTGTTGACGTTGGCTGGATTAGCCGTGATTGAATAGAAGATTCTGAAAAACACAAGAAAAGGTGCAAGAGTGAGACAATGACAATCACAACTGTTCCACTTAAAGGGGATTCGTCATGAGAGAGGCAGGGTGGCTGTTAGCTGGGTTGTGATGATTATCCTTTAGTCTTACTACTGTCAGAGTCAGTCATCTAGAGCAATTAGGAAGTTCAGGAGTCAGTGACCCAGAATGTACTGTCAGGAAATCTGCCACAACCCTGAACCCTGGGAGGGCCAGCGCTCTGCCACAACTCCGTCTACTAGATAGGTCACAACTCTTCCATGATTCCATCTACTAGTTAGAGGATCAGAGCTCTGCCACAATTCCATATATTGGTTAGAAGGTCACAACTCTTCCACAACTCCATCTACTGGTTAGAGGGTCAGAGCCAAAAACCCATCTATTGGTTAGAAGGCCACAACTCCATCTACCAGCTTAGTGGATCAGAGCTCTGCCACAATTCCATCTATTGGTTAGAAGGTCACAACTCGTCCACAACTCCATCTACTAGTTAGAGGGTCAGAGCTCTGCCAAAAACCCATCTATTGGTTAGAAGGTCACAACATTTCCACAATTCCATCTACTGGTTAGAGGGTCACAAATCTTCCATGATTCCATCAACTAGTCCAGAGAGTCGGAGCTCTACCCCAACCCTATCTATTCGTAAGAGGGTCACAACTCTTCCATGGTTCCATCTACTAGCTTAGAGGGTCAGAGCTCTGCCACAATTCTATCTATTGGTTAGAGGGTCGGAGCTCTACCTTAAGGCCTGGTTCACACCTGGGCGTTTTACAGTGCGTCCCTACGCGCTGAAAAATGCTCAACATGTGAAAACCAATGATTGCCTATGGGCATGGTTCCCACCTGGGCGTTTTACAGCGCGTAGGAACACGCTGTAAAACGCCCTACGCACAAAGAAGTACAGGAGCTTCTTTGGGGCGTATTTGTCACGCGTATCCATTGGGATACAGCCAGGTAGCCCTCGGAAACGCGCATTTGTGGCGCGTTTCTTTTACCGCAGATCGCGGTAAAAACGCGCAGGAAATGCGCATATTCCGTATGCCCAGGTGTCAACCCAGCCAAACTCCATTTATTAGTCAGAGCGCTGCTGCAACTGCGGTGCACTTAAAAAAAAGAACTGCATGCGCACATCACCAGAACACGGTGGTGTAAACCAACCCATCTATGATAAGGCAATTTGCCTCGTCTTGTGTCTTAAACATTTTCCCAAGGAAAAATACAACATGGTATCAAAAAACTGGCCAACTATTTTCTAAAGGGAATGGGTTTGAAGGCAGAGTTCCCCATAAATGTATAGGATAGTCCAGGCTGGTCAAGCTGAAGAGGGAATTGGCCTGATTCCGCTTCTCTCTGCATTTCCAAATTGCCCAGTGGGGTTCTAAAAGCCCAACTAAACCGAGAGGGCAAAAAGAAACTCAACAATTCTGCCAGTACACAACAAACTTAGACTGTGTGCAGGCCAGGGGGAGAACTTGTGTCTGACCTCAAAAACTGAAGATTTGCTTATAGGAAGCATTTAAAATTGTTATTTGTGCCTATGCAATATACTGAATATTTTAACTTTGGTCATTAATTACTTATAAGTATAGCAATGCACCTCCCGGTATGTAAGTGTGCCTAGGCACTCCTGTGTCTACAGCCTCATAGCTGTACACCTGCATGGTGAATATCTGTAAAAAAATAAATCAAGGCAGCTTGAGAAAGCTGGTCGGATGTCCAGTGAAACATCTTCAAGAAAAATACTGCGAGTCCAGTTGCCTTGACTTTTTTACAGATATACCCCATGACCTGGACGAATGAGAACCTTCACAGACATCTGCATTGTGAGATTTATCACACTGCTGCCTCTGCTAGTCTCACCAGGTTTGGAGTGAGATTTGGTGATGTCCCTCCTGTGCTGCTCACTGTTCTCCTTGCTGCAGACCCTGACCTGAGGAAGCAAGTAAAATAATCCGTGCAGAGGTTAGTACCAGTTTCCATATGATTTACCGGTATGGTGATCGCTGCATAAAATGTTTTCTGTCATATCCGGTGGAACGTGCGATATCAGATTAGTTACACACCTCTCTGAACAAACAATTGAATCATCTCACACAACAACAAATCCATCAACCATACTAAACATCGGCTTCCAGCTGCAGGTGAGGTTGTGCGCGTCTTCGAGGAATATATATTAAAAAAAAAAGAAACCCCGTATTTTATTAACCTGCCCGGGAATAATAATAAAGACTCTGTAAAGAGGATTTCCATTAAGCTCTAACTGCATGTAAAAGGAGCACATAATATACTCCAGATACTATTTTACAACAATGAATGTTTATAAAAGAGTAAAAAACTATTTAAAAGAATTTTAAAAAATTGCAGCTGTTTGTGACTATCACCCTGCCCCCCTCAAGGGTGGTCACAGAGATGACGCTCCTTCCTTTGGCTCCCTTTTTTTTATTAATTGGAGAAATGATTGCATAATATGGATATATTTTTGTCAGAAAAGTATTGGGGTGCTCATGCACACAGACGGCTGAGCCCATTCAACATAAATACCAGCATACCTTCCCCCCCTCCAGGGAGCCACAGGTGCCAAATACAGCCTGCCATGGAAGTCAATGACGTGGGTATACACGGGTACTTGTGCACAGCTGGGTATGCATGCCGATGTAAAAAACATGCCCAGATAACATACTGTATATACCGGTGTATTTTCCCCCTCCAGGGAGCCACATGCAGCCTACCATAGAAGCCAATGGCTTATGTGGGTATATACAGGTATTATGTACAGCTGCGTATGCATGCCGACATAAAAAACATGCCCAGATAACATATATACCGGTGTATTTCCCCACTACGGGGAAGTGCGGGTGCTGTGAACAGACTGCTTCCTACCTGCGGCTCTCTGGAGGAGGGAAATACGCCGGTAGTTATGTTGTCTGGGACCAGCCACTCATGTGCATGAGACCTTAAAGCAGAGACAAATGATTCTATTCTTGGGTGTCTGGTTAAAGGGCCTTGTCATAATGAGCCTGATGAAGGGACCCAGAATGGCCCCGAAAAGCTGCCTGCTTTATGACATGATGTGCATGCGCCAATAAAGATGTGCTGGTGACATACCTCATCTGTCTGGTTTAAGGGCTAGTTGAGCTGGGGCCACACTGGCCTCCTTTTCCAGCACAGCTCCAACTCACAGACAAGGTAAATTCCTTTGTTTTATAGCAGTTCAGTTCAAAGAACCACATTGCAGGTGATGTGTGTTGAGCAAAGTATCGCAGTACTTTTTTTGAGTGCAGCACGGTGTGTCAAGGTGCAACCTCAGTGCACCACAATGTGCCGATTGCAATACAGTTCTAACACACACAAAAATAGGAAACGGATCGGCACATCAGCACTGTAACTGCCAGTGCCCACCAGCGGTTGTGCTTTCAACATGACTTAGGGCACCATTAAATGTGCCGGAACGCACTGGATAGCATAGTTCAAGGAGCGGGAGGGGGCGTGGTGGTGCCAATTCAAGTTAATGAATTGGCACGCACCAGAACGCGTGGCACAGCAATGGCTGAGGTGCGGTGCAATCGCAAAAAGTAGTGCACGCATTTTGGTGCAGGTCCTCGCACTGGGGGCGGGAGGCGTGGCTGCGGTGCCATTGACCTTAATGGCACCACCACGCCTCCTTCCGCCCCAGAACGCAGGGAGGCTTACTCTATGCGATCCAGTGCGTTCCGGCCACTAACCTTGCCAGAGCGCACTCTATGTGGTGTGAAGAGGCCCTATGAGAGGTGATACATCTGCAGACCTTTTGAATTTGTTTGACAATTGAGATAAAACTATTATAAGATTTAGAGATCTCGGCAGCCACGTCCCTGGAACGTATAGAACAGTTTATTTAGACCAGAGCTCCTCTTTCCTTTTCTGCTGGTCAGTGTCTTCTGTTGATATCCCCATATTTCATAATTGACAGGCTTCCTGCAGACCGGCCTTGTATCTGCTCCGCTACGGCTTTAATTGAATCCGCTTTGTTTTTGCTGCATCCTTCTGGGTGTTTAGTCTATAGATTTATCTGGTGGAAGAATTAGGAACACAATGACCTAAATGTGGCCACTCAATACCAACAAATGAGCAGGTCTGGCGCACCCATGACACAAAAGCAGGGCTATATTTACTATAATAAGACATATGGGCCATTGGGTAAGTACTGGGGGTCCCACGAAGCCTCAAAATGTACAAACCGTGATTTTTGTATTGTTTAGTTTCCACCCGTTGCTCTCCTCTGAACATTTGCGGCTTAAAGCAAAAGTGATATACAGGCAGTCCCCGAGTTACGTACATCCGACTTACATACGACCCCTACTTACAAACGGAGGCTATTACTGTGCAGCAGGGGGGTCTCAGGCTGCAGCCAAAGTATACCGCTCAGCATTTCAGTAGTTGTAATGTTACCACACTCGTGCCGACAAGGAGTGCCCACCTTTTCGGGTCTGGTTCATAGTGCTGTACGTACATTTCAGGAAGTTGGCTCTTGTTAGACGTGCTGACGAGGGGTGCCCGCCTCTTCTTCCCGGGTCACTGTGAGGTTTTCACTGCTGTCTGTATCCTCATTAGAAAGATTTTATCTCACTTCCTGTCCTTGAGACAACAGGAAGTGAGAGGAAATCTACCCCTAGGAAGGGAAATTCACTCCTGTACGAGTGGTCATGGGAAAAAGGTGTCGCCACTGAAGCTTTATCACCAATCCTTGTTTCCACGACAACGCAAAGTTTTCAAAATCCATTTGTCACAGGGACAGGAAGTGAGGTGAAATCTTCTGAACAGGGGCAAAACAAACATTACATGGGGGTTAACCCTTCCCTATGCTATCCAAATCGAAAAACATTTTTTTTGGCTGGAGTTACACTTAAAATGTTTTCCCGTTCAAACTTACATACAAATTCAACTTAAGAACAACCTACAGTCCCTATCTTGTTTGTAACCTGGGGACTGCCTGTATACCATTG